GTGGGGGCAAGAACTCACAGCAGCATCCAATGTCGAGGTATATGGCTCCCACACGCTTCTGTCCGAGCTCTAGGAGTTGTTTGTATGCGGGCAAGCGGGAAATCTTGAGTCTGTCGGCGAGCCCATATTATCAGATTCATCCAGAATAGTCCTTGCGCACAAACATACTTGGTGAAAGCAAAGCGGCGAATACACGGATACGGATAGACCTGCAGACCAGATCCAGCGTGGTGAGCATTACTTCAAAGTGGTAGCTCATCCCCTTCCCCATCGTCGAGAAATGCGCCTCGTAGAGGCGTGAAAGTCCACTCCATACATCGGACTGTAAGCAATTTAGACGAGCGGGCTAACTCACTTTATATGCGCTCTCTTGGGCTTTCATGATGTGCTGCTTCAGCTCACCTTCATCTTGGATACCTGTCTGGGCCTTGAAGAAGGCGAGCTCATCCTCCTGGAGATTGTAATACCGTTCGTCGAGTGCGCCACCTTCGAGGACATTCACGGGAGTCTCTCCTTTGGTTGTCTCAGACATGGCGCCAATAGTGGTAGTCGTTGTGGTGGAGCCTGCCAAAGTGAGTCTGCACAATATGCTGTGATCTGCCTGGCGAACTTGACTGATAATTACTCGATCATATATACTCCGCAATGACCTCTAGTCGATGACTGTGCCGACGGATTGGGATCCGGCAGAGCACTATCGGCCCTGGGATTGCACACGGTGCTGAACGCGGAGGCTAAAATATTGTTTGCAAGATCATGGTGATCTCAGCAGATATCGGTATGACTTGTTTTTGGCGAGTCGACTTTCGGCGTGATTTGTGGATCTGTCTTCCCCTACCTTGTTTGGAATTTCGAGAATTATGCGCGAAAGACATTCCTCGGACTTCATTCATGAGCTCATGTATGAGCACCGCGCATGTGTAGAGTGGCTGGGGTTCCGACTCCGCTCACAGTTGCTGAATATCATGCGACATCCACTCTGCGCAATCACGCCTTCCTCACGGAAAGCACGCAGCATCGAACTTTGGAAATCACGTTGAGTGTCAGCATATGATTGTGGTGAACTCTTACATGTAGATAAGACTCACACGGTGCTGGTCATTATCACGTTCTCTCGATGCTTTGCGTTCCCTCCGAATTATGTCATGTGAAAGGCCGTGAGTTTCTCCTATTCATATACAGGCCCTCTGTATTCTGATTGTCCTAGTAGGCTAGATATAAATCGATTCGGACGACGTGACATTTGAATACAATGCTTTGCTGCAGCAATCATGGTTTATTAACACTTTCGGTTCTCCATCTTCTGATGGCATTCGTAGTCATGAGAAGTTAAACACTAGTCCACGACTACATTCTTCAGCGAGTGCGAGGACCAGACAAGGATTCCCCTGTGTGGTGCTACTGTTGCCTCGTTGCTTCCTACCAATAACAATATTACCAGACCAAACTCATCGCCAGGACTTCATCCCAGGAAGGCCATTCTCGCCGTCACCCCGCTCCGCATCCAACCTCGTCTCAACTCACTCAGTGCCCTTCGGAGATACCTCTCCATCCCACAAAGCGGACCAGCTTTCTGGAGAATGACAAAACATGCGCGCTTCGCGTGACACCGGCTCCTCTGACACCTCACGGGAAAATTTCCCCGGGTAGCCGTGGTGCATGCCGAAGAGCATCGAGCCCGGCCGCAGGGAAAGAAGGCCGGCGAGGGTGCGCGCTAGCGTAGCCTGATACTCTTCGTCAAATAAACGGAAGAAATCGCCGGTGATGGTGTTGTGGATGGTGAGTTGAGGGTACACGGAGTGGAACAACTATGCATTGCCGACTCGTCGGTTTTTCGTGAATTTTGGGTACGCATCTGCAGGTGGAGACTGTCATAGTCGCGGGAAAATGCGCTAGTACGATGGTTGGACAGGTTGTGGTTAAGGACTAAGATTTTCAATCACAGATGTTATTATGAAACAGGTTTATAGTTTTATGCCAATTGTATCACGCCCGGAGTACGGTACGTCCTTGCATAAACGCTGAAACAACCCAAGGATCTAGATGGCTCGTGTCAAGCCAAGAAGCCTACAGCGCATCGTTGCAATTGTAGTTAGCAACTTCCTGTGTCTTGGCCTCAAGCATACTTCCACCAAGGCTGGCACAATGTGGGCAACTAAATATCTCAATCTCTACATTGCACACTGCGGGACTCTCACTCGACAACACAATGTTCACATGAATCCTCTCACGCTTTTCGTGTGTAGACCGCCAACCCAAGTGACTCGCGTATGGGTGCCTCTCAGCAATAATACGATATGTTTTCGAAATCATAGCACTCCCGCTGGGCATATGCAAGGCTCTTGTTCTGTTATTAACGAGCGATTCAGGATCCTGTCAGCTAGTCATCACACCAAGTACAGCTACATTCACCTTGTACCTGATCCAATCGATAACCCAATTTTGAACAAGGACAGCTGTCACTCGTAAGGTCAATGAGGCCGCGGAGCTTCAAGGACATCGACAGAGGGGACAATGTAGAACAACTATTACTGAGTTGTTACACGTGGGGGTGACTGACGCTGTGGTTGAACGTAGGTCTCGCGAGCTTTATGTCGCTTCAGGAGGCTCAATGTCCACGCGCACGCAGCAGCCTTGTCTCATGGAAGGTAAGCGTGACCAAGGTGGGCGAAGCATTGAATGAACAAGGACGTCAGGCTGTCAAAACATAGGCTGACTTCCGGCTTGCGCGATAATCATCGCGTCACTCTGAACGTCATGGTGCACCTGTTGATAGCTGAGAGGCACTAGAACCCGTGAAAGTAATACCGCTACGTGTGGCACGACCGCGCTTTGTCAGGTAAGCGAACACCTGAAAGCAAGCTGCGCACCTCGCACCTATCTGTTGGCCTGCTATGGCAGCCATGACGATGAGATCTTACATCCCATCTGTCACTCTATACTCACTTAACACTGAAGCCGATCCGCTCAGTGCCGCCCTAACAAGGTACCCCACCCTCACCGTGATGAGTATCCTAGTTTGTGTTACCAAGCACTGACAATAGAATGTGAGTATAAATTAGCAAGCCTTCGTGAGACTTACATACCATTCCGGCTTCTACCTACCCTCCTAACGCTTTTCTCCCAAGCGCACCATACCTCGACTGCGTGGACCCTGCTCATTCGTACTTGCCATCCATCTGACACGGTCGGTCCGTGAATCGCCAGTTGGGCGGAGCGAGAGGCGAGCGGCTGGTTGGCCAGCGTGACGATATCTTGTAACGACGTCTCTTTGCGATCACGGAGGTTCCATCACGGCGCGTTAATGGCGGACTCGTTTCCCTCCTCCTCCCGGTTCACTATGTGACAGCTTTGGGTACTCATCTCGCTTTGTCTCATGGATTGTCCCTCATTTGGGCGTAACCCCATACTTTGTCGACGTGTTTCCAGCAATTTTATACTCAGCTGAACACACTATCGAGAACGGCCGGGAGATAAATATGGGTGCAGACCTCAGATAATTTCGGGCAGACAAACTCTACGGTAACTTCAGATGACACTATAGATGCGGGTCCACATATGGCTGAATGTTATTTTCTCCCCGCAACCAACAAAACAACTCGGACTTCGACCTTGAATCTACAACTTCACCCTATTCACAACCTTGTGACAGACCACACTAGACCCCAAAGCTGCGTCCCAGGTAATACGGATCCTCTCAAGTCCTGCTTGACGCCCATGAGCGTGGCCTCGACGTGTACCGTGCCTTTGGGAAATATCTCTCCGTCCCACAACGCGGCCCAACTCTCAGGACAATGGCAGAACATGTAGTCCCCCCGTGCGTTCGGTACGCCCTGCTCCAGACGCAAGCCCTTCTCGGGACGCCCAGCATGGATACCAAAGATGACTGACCCAGGCTCCGGAGAGAGCAGTCCTGCGACTGCTCGAGAGAGCGCCGTCTGCGTCGGCTCATCGAAGAGGTGAAAGAAAGATGACGCGTGGATTGCGGAAACATGACCTCGCAGCGGAGACAGCGTCTCGAGTGTGGTCAGGGCTGGTGC